TCTTAGAAAGTTTGCTTTTCATTTGTATATTTTTCATGTCTACTTCATAAGAGTCAAACCTAGGAAGTCTTAATTTTAGCTGCATCTCAGCATGTTCTACTAGCTTCAACTTGGTTCTCTGTCATTCCTAACAACAATATCTCTTCTCATACAATACTATGGGTGTATTGCTTCTTCAACTAAGTATTCCACATTACTTAGACAAGTAAGTCACTCGGACTTTCACAACCAAATGATTCATTTCACCACCTTAATCATGTATGTTAAAGTCGTCTTAACACACTATGCAACTTTCGTAAGGATGGGATAGAAGTCAATTGTCACTCTGTATTTTTAAATACTAAGTCCGAGCATCCTGTATAGGGTACAAATCAGCTCTTATTACACCACTCGAATTGCATACTATATCACAATGTTAAACAAGGTATTCGCTTAGTCTGAAAACTCTGTTAGCCTTTCCTTTGATCTCCATTGAATTCTTCTTAATCTTACACAACATCAATTTCGATATAATCGAATTATTTATCACCATCTTTAGCTCTTCTAACCCCGTAAGCAATCACTGCTTCATTCTGGTCAGCGGTGGAACAAATTCATGGATTATGCCAAAACATTCATCTCGTCTAGATGTACTTCAAACGCACAACATTCCTCTAAAGGTGTTATATTTCATAAACATACTTTGAATGTACAACACCACTTTATAGGTATTAATACACTATTACGATATCACTTGATAGGTATTATTTTACGATATACATCGATCGTTATTTATGAAGTTATCGATGTCAACTATCGTAAGTCTCCTTATCACCCCGAAACGTTACATGCTAGTTCTAATATCGTAGTCATACGCTTAAAATCCTGAACACATAACGTTTCCAGATCCGGTCGGCAACAAACCATAGATCCGCACAAATAATGGCATATATGTCAAACATATAGCATTTAACACATAAAAGCATTTTAGGCATCTTTCCTAAAATATACTAGTGCTCGTGTCTAAAATATGGTAGACACTCATCTCACGATCATCGCTTAGTATTCTAAGTTTAAGTCTAGAAATCCTACAAATTCCTAGTTCGCTTAAACTAATGCTCTGATACCAACTATGACATCCCCATTTTTACGGCCAGAAAAGACCGATTTCCTATATATATACACACACACACAACACATATTTTATATAAAATACTTCATATCTATGTGTAAGATGTAAGTGACTATACACTCATGGGCGGAACGTAATGGGGGCTTAGGGGGGCCATGGCCTCCCCGTTATTTTGTCTTCCATATATACTATTAGTATATATCTAATATTAAACATCGAGAATTCTGTTTGTGGCTGAGAGAATAAAGAGAATTTCTTTCTTTTTACTTTTTCTTGTGGGTGAGGGTTTGCCGGGGAGCAGGAGGAGGGATTTCTTCCTTTTTTTGTTAGTAGCAAGGACCGACGAGAAGGATAGAGAAGAAGAGCAAAACAACAAAAGGGTTGGTTACTTTCCATTTCAGGAGTCAGTAACATAAGGAGGGTAAATCAATTAGCTGATATATTATTTCTTATACATTACTTTATTAGAAGTCTAAAGCTAACATTTTCTAATCTATTTTATTTATTTTATGTTTCAATATTACTTAGCATTTGTCAAATACAACCTACTTTTTAGTTACTTGGAATAAGTTTAAAACTGCATTTTTAAGGGTTTAAAATAAAGAAATACAAAAAAAAAATCAATATAACTTATTATTATTAAAATTTAAAAATCTATATATTGATTGTTAAATGTTATTTGATTTATTTATTTTAGCTTTCATCTTTTTTTTTCTCAAAAATGACAATATAAATTTTTCAAATGTTATTTTATTTTTTTATTTTTAATGCTAGTTGATATTTTTATAAACATTAAAACAACAATCCATTATGAATTTTAAAATTTTAGTTTTTTTTAACAACAAAACATAATTCCTAGTTAATTTTGTTAAGCTAGGTCATATTACATAAAACTACAATTCGGCCCCCTAGATGTATTGTTTGTGTTCCGCCCCTGTATACACTCACTTGATAAGATGGTGATTGAACAACACTTCTTTCCTTAAAACAATCTTTTTCGATGAAACCGGGAGGTTTGCTCAAAAACCGAGCTTTACGCGGGCAGAGTTTCGACTCGAAAAACTCTTTTTCTCGGAGACTTCGGGCTCTCCGAGGCTTTCTTCTGGTGCTAGGATGGTACCCTAGGTATGGGGGTTTTAGTGTAGCTTAAAAGAGAGTATAAGGGTGAAAGGAAGAAAATTTTGTAAAATAATTCGGGGCAGCCTCGCACCCCTTTTATAGGTGGCCGAAGCCTCTCGTTACGTTGGGCGTAACTTTTTGGTACGCGGGGCGTACTACTTTGTTCAGCTCTACGCTGGGAGTACTCTCGTACGCTAGACGTAGGGGGAACGTGGCGCCTGATCGAATTTCGAGCTTCAGACGCATCACAACTATATACACGCGTCTAACATGCGAAGTTATAGGGTGACGTGGCCGACTTCGGACCATGTACACGAGTACGCTGGGCGTATTCCCCCAAATTTTATTTTTCAAATTTCAAAAAATTATAACTTTCGCATACGAGCTCTGTTTTGACGTTCTTTATATCCACGCGTAGGTAAGACCGTGCTCTACAACTTTCGTTTAGACTCCGTTGACTAATTTTGACTTTATTTTTAAAGTTATATTTTTAACAGGCCGGGACAGGAAAAGTCCGTTAAAAATTCATAACTTCTTCATCCGACGTCCGTTTTGTCTGTGTTTTTACCGTTTAACTACTATTGTACGAGATCTTCAGTTTTCGTTTAGGTTGTGTCGGCTCGCTCGATCTATAATTCAAATTATGGGCTGCATATTGTTAGATTTGGACATTCTTTTTATGAATGCTCTCGGTTTAACGTATACTATGAATTTCATTTAGATTGCTAAGTCTAAAAAGCATTTTTATCGTAAACTCACTTTTTACGTCACACAGCGTCGTGCCGGTTCTGTCGCGAAACTTCGACGGTTCATAACTTCTTCGTTATAACTCAAATTTCGGCGTTCTTTATATCTCCGGAATCCTTGTTACGCCGACTACAACTTTCTTCATAGATATCGGGTTTATCTAACATTTTACTTTTGACGCTTATTTTTATCCTTAATTTTTTTATATCATCATAATTAAATATAAGGTACATGAATTCACATAATTCATTCTTATTACTTCAAAACACATTACAATAGTTGACATAGACTATTACATCATATTTAATGCTTAGCCCAGAAACACAGGAGTTACATATCATAAGGCTTAGGGCCTTGGGGAAGAAAGGATTTGACCCTTTTTGGGTGTGGGCGCTATAGTTTAAGTGATCCGAGTGTTCAAAGGTGTTTCAGAGCCTAATGGTATAATCGTAAATTTGTTAGTTCGGGCCTTTATGAATTTTGGGTTCTTGTTCGGGAAGTTTTAAGGCAATCGTGAGTTGTTAGAAGCGTAGGGCTTCTCGTCGCCTTTCCGTGGATATAAAGTTCGTCGGAAACGGACTTAGATTGTGGAAGTTATGGCCTTCAGAGTATTTAGGGTTTTAGAGGGAACCTAGTATGTAGGGCGTACCAAGGGAGTGCGCGGGGTGTACTGCTGCGGAGTTCAGTACGCTTGGCGTAAAGTGACGTACGTAGGGCGTACTGCGAAGGATGGTATGGGGGTGCGAGGCCTCGTATGTTGGGCGTACGAGGGTCAGATAGAAAACCCTAAATTTTGTGTTGTGCCCTATATAAGCTTTATGATAGTCCCTTTTGATCATTTTTAAGACATCCTCCATGCTCTAAAAACCCTATTTCGACCCCCAGCCCACGTTTGGTGATCTTGAAGCTCTTGTGAGATTTGTGGAGGGTTTTGTGGATCTAGAAAAAAAAGGAGAAACTTGAAGACCTGTTCTTTGAAGGAAAGCTTTGAGATCCAGCATGTGCATATCCTTTTGGTAGCTTGGGAGGTATAAAGTTCAAATCTTGCATTTTCATTTCATGGATCTTCTTCTTGGTGCATTTTTGGTCATTTTGACCCCTTTTGGTTGAGGAGTGGGAGTTAAAGTCATATTTTTGAAGCTTGAAATTGTAGATATGGATATATCATGAGTTCCTTGGGCATAAAGGTGCAAACTTTATGGTGGTTTTGGTTCCATGCATGTATTAAATCAAGTATTAAGCTCTTTTGAGCCCCAAAGTTACATTTAGCCATGCATGCACATAAAGTTGACAACTTTATGTGATTAACCACCTTGGAGAAGTTAGATCTGAGCTTGGATCCAAGTCTTAATGGATTAAGTGATAAATCTGGAAAGAAGGTCATGGTTGGTGAGTACGCTGGGCGTACAAGCCTCCCATGTTATACGCTGAGCGTACAGGCTGAGTACGCCCCGTATACTCGATAGACTTGGGCCTTTTTGCGTTTTGGGCTTGGTTGTGTTGGGCCATGTTGAGGCATCTGAATTTTTATAGTTTGGCTGTTGTGACTTGTTGGGCCTTCTTAGGTAAAGGCCCATGAAAGGAATTGGGCTCAATTTGAAAAATTGGGCCATATTTAGGCCTTAGATGTTACAACGGGTAATATGGAGCAAAACGTATATTTTTTCTCGTTCAGTTGGTTAGATATGTTATTTTGGTGGAGCGAGTCAGTTATTTTTGTGGACCAAATCAGAAGTGTGGGATATATCATACGCATATCAAACACCCCTGATCGGACCGAGTCAAACAAATACATCCAGACCCGTTCAATACCAACACCAACTTAGACAACTGCAAAACAAACCAAATTTTTTTTTACACATTTATGAAAATGATTCTCATTACGGCTGGGATAAAAAATGTGAAAATTATTTGAGGGGCCTATCGTGCAAGTTAGGGTTTAGTTTAGGGATTACATGCATAATTCGTTATTTAGTTTGTTGACGTCACCAATATTTGACGACTAGGGTTTAAGAACAGAGCACCATTACTTTGGTGAAGCGCCGGGAAACATTTCGTAGTCTTCAAGCTCCCGAAGCTTTACCATGAACTACAGGTTTCAGAACCTCCTCGGAGCTCCATACAGGGGCGGGAATGCCATTGTCGTCAACAACACACTTCTTATATCACCAGTTGGCAATCGTATCTCTGTAACAGACCTCGTGAAATCAGAAACTATAACTCTTCCTTGTCAAGCCTCCTCAAACATATCCAGAATTGCTGCCTCTCCTGACGGCGTATTCCTTCTCGCCGTTGATGACAACTCCCGCTGCCTCTTCATCAACCTACGTCGCCGTGCTGTACTTCATCGCATCGCCTTTAAGAATCCCGTGGCATCCGCGAAGTTTAGCCCGGATGGCTCGTTCATCGCTGTCGCCTCCGGCAAGTTAGTTCAAATATGGAGATCCCCGGGGTTCAAGAAGGAGTTTTTCCCGTTCGAGTTGGTAAAAACTTTCGCTAATTGTAATGATAAAGTTACTGCACTTGATTGGAGTCCTGATTCAGAGTATTTGTTGGCTGGTTCGAAGGATTTGACGGTTAGGCTTTTTTGTCTGAAGAAATTAAGTGGTTCAAACAAACCTTTTCTGTTTTTAGGTCATAGAGATATTATCGTAGGTGCATTTTTTGGTATTGAGAAGAAAACGAAACAAGTTTCTAGGGCTTACACTGTATCACGCGATGGCGCAATTTTTAGCTGGAGTTATACGGCGAAAGATGAAACACCAGATGAAATACCTTCACCTGGCACTCCTGAACAAACCATGGAAGTGGAGCAAACTAGTAATGCGAAGAAAAGAAAGAATGCCCACGCCATTATTGATGAAGAAACTTCCACTTTGTTGCATACAGCAAAGTGGGAATTGTCTAAGAAGAATTTCTTTATGCAAACCCCAGCAAAGCTAACATCCTGCGATTATCACAGAGGTTTGGAGATCGTGGTAGTTGGATTCTCAAATGGTGTTTTTGGCCTATATCAGATGCCTGATTTTGTTTGTATACACTTGTTATCTATATCTAGAGAGAAGATCACAACTGCTACTTTTAATGATCTTGGAAACTGGTTAACATTTGGCTGTGCTAGACTTGGACAATTGCTTGTGTGGGAGTGGAAGTCCGAAAGCTATATATTGAAGCAACAAGGACATTACTTTGATGTCAACACTCTTGCATATTCCCCCGATTCACAGCTCTTAGCTACTGGTGCAGATGATAATAAAATCAAGGTAAGTTACTTTCAAGATACAATCTCTTATACATTACAACAACATGTATGTTTACAGATCTTTGTTTGGTTGTTACAGGTCTGGACTGTGTCATCAGGCTTCTGTTTTGTGACTTTTTCTGAGCATACAAATGCAGTTACTGCACTTCATTTCATGGCTAGCAACCATTGTTTACTGAGTGCATCCCTTGATGGAACTGTTCGCGCTTGGGATCTGTTCCGGTATCGTAATTTTAGGACATTCACTACCCCTTCTTCTAGACAGTTTGTTTCTTTAGCATCAGACCAAAGTGGTGAAGTGATTTGTGCAGGAACGCTCGATTCATTTGAGGTAATAAAATTAGAATTGATGTTTAAAAAGTATTTGAGAAAATCTGACATAACATTTTTCTGTTCCTCTTAGATCTTTGTTTGGTCAATGAAAACCGGGCGACTGTTGGATGTTCTAAGTGGACATGAAGGTCCAGTTCATGGATTAATGTTTTCTCCAACAAGTGTAAGTATTTCTCTCTTTATGTCACATATCTATGGTGGTGTATAATATATACTTATTATTTATCTTTTTCATATCCTACAGGCGATTCTTGCATCATCATCATGGGACAGATCTGTTCGTTTATGGGATGTTTTTGATGGAAAAGGTTCAGTAGAAACATTCACTCACACACACGATGTTCTTACAGTTGTTTATCGTCCAGATGGGAAGCAATTAGCTTGCAGCACATTAGATGGACAAATTCATTTCTGGGATCCCATTGATGGCTTGTTAATGTACACCATTGAGGGGCGTAAAGACATTGCTGGAGGACGCCTAATGTCTGATCGTAGGTCAGCAGCCAATTCCACTTCAGGAAAATGCTTCACAACATTATCTTATTCAGCTGATGGAAATTACATTTTAGCTGGTAGCAGCAAATACATCTGTATGTATGATGTCGCTGACCAGGTTAGTTTCTCTTTTTTGAAAAAATTATAATAGTAAAATTTTTATTATTAGTAGTAAAAGTGCAAAATGTTATAATTACAGGTATTGCTGCGGAGATTCCAAATAACTCTAAATCTGTCTTTGGATGGAGTTCTTGATGTTTTAAATTCAAAGAACATGACAGATGCTGGTCCTTTGAATTTAATCGATGATGATAACAGCGATGTTGATGATGGTGTTGAGAAACAAACACGGGTCAAGTCGGGTTATGACCTGCCCGGATCTATGCCTAATCGCGGGCGGCCTATTGTACGAACAAAATGCCTACGAATCGCGCCCACGGGCCGTAGTTGGGCAGCTGCAACAACCGAAGGGGTTTTAGTTTACTCCATGGATGATAATTTCATATTTGACCCTACAGATCTTGACATAGACGTCACACCAGAGGTAACAATAACAGTCTTTTCTTCAGATTCAGATAGTGCATTAATATTTTATCCAAACAGATATCATTATCCATTCAGTACACTTTATTCCTTATTTGACAGGCAGTTGAAGCGGCACTTAAGGAAGATCAGCCAAGTAGAGCTTTGATTCTGAGTTTAAGATTAAATGAAGATGAATTGATTAAAAAGTGTATTATTAGTATTGCTCCTGCGGATATAAGAGTGGTGGTTGCATCGGTCCCGTTTAAATATTTAAATAGATTAATCATGGCTTTCGCTGAGCTTCTAGAAAATTGCCCTCATCTGGAGTTTATTCTTCGATGGTGTCAGGTATAATGTTCTGTTGACATCAGTTTTAGTTCAATACATGTCAAATGCAGTACAACCTAGTATTTATGTCTTGTCTTGTGTGAAATGTGATTTTTGTTGTTTGGTTTTGTAGGAGCTTTCTAAATGTCACGGACACTCGATTCAGCAAAACTCGAGGAATTTGCTGCCTGCTCTGAAGTCGTTGCAGAAGGCGATTACAAGGTTACATCAAGATTTAGGAGACACGTGTGCTTCTAATGAGTATTTGCTTCGATATTTATGTTCTACAAGCTCTAAGCCATGAGCTTTATTAAGAGTTGCTAAAATGGCGATTTTGTTATAAAAGCCTTTGGGTACGGATGCTGTTGTAATTTTATTAAGGTGGAATTTTGCTTTTTTTTTTTGGTTCTGTTTTATAGACGCTTATAAAATATTGTTTGCTATTGGTGTTGATTTTGATATACAAGGAATGACAATCTCAAAAGAATTACAATCTTAAAAGCTAATAGATGTCAAATGAAAAACCTCAATTTTAAAATTTTGCATTATGAGAAAGATTGTTTTATTACGGTCAAACCCTAAAATTTGACCAACTTAATTGAGAAATATGACTGCAAGAAGAGTCAATTACTCAATTACATAGCCGAAGTATTTGCATGTATTTGGTGTATGTTTTACACATCAATTTTTGAGTAAATACACTAATGGTCCCTATGGTTTGTGGTAATTTGCATGTTTGATCCCTAACTTATTTTTTTAACTTGGAAGGTCCTTACTGTTTGTTTTTGTTGTGCTTGGTCCCGTCTTACATAAAAAGACTATTTTGTCATTGATTTTTTAACTTTTTAAATAAACACACTCTCAACCCCACTTCCACATCACATTACCCTTACCTACCACATCTTATTTAAATAAATTAAAAAATCAAGGGCAAAATAGTATTTTTAGGTAAGACAGAGACCAAACGCGCAACAAAAACAAACTGTAGGGACATTCCGAGTTAAAAAAATAAGTTAGAGACCAAACATGCAAATTACCCCAAACCGTAGGGACCATTCGTGTAATTTACTCTCAATTTTTTTATTAATTTAATTTTAAATACCATATTTGTTTTTATAAACTTTTAAAATATTATATTTGTCTAAATCCTTACTTTTAACATTTTATAATAATTTAGAATATTTGTTTTTATTAATTAACTATTTTAACTTTTTTTTTATAAATATAAGTTTAACTATTATTTTATCCTTTATACACTTTCATTCTATTTTTTCAAATTATTATTTTAATCAAATTTGGTTTTTAAATTATTATTTTATAATTTTAGTTTTTTTGTAGTGTGTAAATTATTATATCCGATTAAAATACTATATTTTTCTAAATTAATATATTATATTAATTCATAACACATTTATGAATAATTTAGTTTCTTTTCTTCAAACTTTTGCTACAAAATTTTGAACACTTTGCTATTTTTGGTATCTCCTCAACTTTTTCGAAGTTTTGTCACAAAAATTTCAACATTTTGCCATTTTTCGTTCCTCCTCAACTTTTTACTATATTAGTTTGTGGAGTTGACTATTTTGGTCCCCCACTTTCGATATTCTCTATTGCTAGCCACAAATGTTTCAACAGTTTGCCACTTTTGATCCCTGGCATTTACCAAATGTAATACCTCTAGGTTTTGCCACATTTGTTTGTGGAGTTGGCGGTTTTAATCATTCACCTTCGATATTCTACTATACGACCCTAATTTTCTCAAAACATTATACACACACAAAATAGAAACAACAAATGAAAAAAAGAACCAAAGAAACACCGAAATATGTAAACATGAAAAAAATCGGACCGCCGGGAAGCGCGGATCACCTTCTATTTATATTAACAAGTGGTAATTTGAAGATGTGTATTTTAGTTTTCACCAACTATTACATAACTAATTTTGATGCTACTAGATAAAAAATTGAAAAATATATTTTTTTTACCGATGGTATTCCATCAGGAAATTACTTCATCTTCAAGATGAGAAACCTTTAACTGTGATGAAGGGAATGACCAAAATGATAAAAATAAGGATTTGAGTACATATGACATTTTGAAAGTTTATAAAAGTACATATGATATGTAGAACTAGACTAATATGATATTTTGATGTTTAAAAATGATTATGATTTTTTATTTTATTTTTAGTTTTTATAATTGTTTGAGATTCAATAGTTCCAAGTAAAAAATTGCAAATATTTTTTTCCTACCCATCTATAACCAATATGGATTTAAGTACACAACTAGAAATAAATTTGTAGTACTTGTTGTAAAAAAACAAAATGAACAGATCAATCTATACAATAGAAAATTTAGATTTTTTGGCCAGGTTATTTGGCCTTATTTTAACTTGTTATGAAATGAATACCAATTTGTGGATATATAAATAAGCAAGAAATTCGTTTTGTTGTATAAAATGATAAAACGAAATTTATTTGTTCCATAAATTTATAAGAACATAAAAAGATGTTGTAAAGATAATCTAGCTAATTTATTTAAACTAGAACACATATCGAGCTGCGACGTCTTTGACTCCCTTTTGTTTCGTTTTTTCTGCGTGCGACTCGCCAACACAACAGGTATGAATCGTTTTTTTTTTTTTTTTTTCCCTAATCGGTTCGTTTATTAATCGTCCCACAGTTAGAGACTTTCGTGTTCGGCCCAAATAAGGTTCATATTGTGAGAATGTGGAAATGTGTATTCCGAATCCGGCCCATTAATTAAACCCCTAAGCCAAAACCCTTCCTTTTCTTTTCTTTTCTTGCAACAGGAGTTCTAGGGTTCTTCTCTGTTACTGGTAATGGTGAAAGAGAGAGTAGAAGTTTCGATGTCTTCTTTCACTTCTAAAGGTGAAGTTTTCGCTGCTATACTCCCCGATGGACTCGTCAAAGTAAGTTCCCTCTCTGTTTTTCTCTCTCTATGTGCAGGTCTTAGACCATTTTTGTATGCTATATATGCATAAACCTATTGGAGTTGAACTAAACTTGCTTGATATCCAATTCTGGATATGGTTATGTTTTTTTGAAGGAAATTTGCTTGTATTTGAACAACAGGATGTTTTATTTATGTATAAGATTATTATCAAATGACAAAACCATTGGTGCTTGCTTCATTGTTCTAAATTTGCTGTTAACCTATTCCCAAAAGCTAGATTCTTTACAAAGCTTTGTACCAAGCTAATAAACACCATTTCATGCTTGAAGGTTTGGAACACGAGTGATGGGAGTCAATTAGCAGAATGGAAGCAGTCATATGGAGATTCTGTTGCTCAGTTTTCTTGTATTGCATGTAGCTTTGTGGGAAAGAAGGTAACACAGTGCATTGGAAATCTCAATTCTCACACTCCATTTTTGCCTTAATAGTTTCATACCCGGCTCCATAATCCCTTATTTCTTCTTCTCCCTCTTAATTCTCAGCGCAGAAAAGAAAACAGTACTTGTTTGGTGGCACTGGGAACAGATGATGGTGAAGTCTTCACCATTAATGCCACTTCTGCAGAGTTAAAATGGAAATCTTCTGGACATCATCATAGGTATGCTAGGAAAAATAATAAGATGATCATGATCATAAATTTTCTGATTATTGATGGTTAAAATAACCAAATTTGGAGTAATACCTGAAGCTTAGAACTTTTCTGTATGCAGTAGAATAGCTGCTATTTCTTTTGCAAACAAAGGGCGTAAACTTTGTGCTATAAGTACAGATGGCACAACATGCGAAATGAACTCTGAAACTGGTGAACTGTTAAAAGAAATGAAAATCTCAAAGAAACACATCTCTTCATCTGTATATCTTTCTGGTGAGTCTTCCCAACATATGGTCCTTAAATTATCTTAACTTTTTTCTTCTAACATATGTTTTCCTTTAATGATAGATGATAAAATATTAGCTGCATCAAATACCAAGATCAAAGTTCTCAACTTAGAAGATGGAGAAGAACTAGTTAAATTTTCCACAGATGCCGTATGTTACCACTTTTGTATGTGTGTTTTTAAAGTGATTACTGCAGTTCTGATGACTATATTTTTTTTTGACTTTTCTTTAGGGTCCTGTGAATCATATGTTTATGTTGGATGATACAAACACCATAATTACATCTGTATTTGGTGACAAGAATCTGCACGTGTGGAAAAATGGATCAAGTGGACCTGTTCTATCAATGAGACACCCTCCTTTAGCTATCGAATGCAAGAATGGCTGCAATGAAGATGTTTTAGTGGTACTTTCTGTTTCAGAGTCGGGTATTGCTTATATCTGGAACTTGAAGATTTCATCCACAGAAAATGTAGTTCCAACCAAAATCAAAGTTGAAGGTAGTAAATCTGAAACTGACCCAAATGCTAGTGGAAAAAAGAAGAAAAACAAGGCTTCCATATTGGCTGCAAGGTTGAATTCCATTGATGGTGATGATCGAGTTACAGTTCTTGTTGTTTATGGCTCAATAAACTCTCCTCAGTTCACTTTACTTGATGTCACTAGTCCAGGGGAGGATATTGTCATAGATGATATTCAAGAAAATGGTTTGATTGATGGAAAAGGTACATAAAGTACTAATCTGATATTCTATAGATCCTTTTTTATGGGTTAATTACACAAATAACCAAAAATGGCTAAAACAATCTTACTTCTTCACAGACCAAAAAGATGTAAGGGGAAAGAAACGGGCTGCATCTGATGTAGAAGACTCGGTAAAACCGTATAAATGTAAGCAAAAAGATAGATTCTCTGATTTATTTTGGATATTTTTTATTGTGTTTTTTTGGGTTTATGGAAAGATGAAATTTTGTTTGAATGTTGATGATATAGGTCATGGTGATCCTATGGATGGGGTTCAAATTGATAATGACATTAATGAACCAACCATGGGAGAGAAGTTGGCTAGCTTGAATATAAAGAATGATGACGTGGCACCCAAAGAGAAACAAGAAACGAAGCCTCCTAGTGCTGACTCTGTCCATGTACTTCTTAAACAAGCACTTCATGCAGATGATCGGTCACTTCTTCTTGACTGCTTATTTAGACAAGACGAAAAGGTTAATATTTGATAAGTAATTTTTCAGATGTTAGTTGAATTTTACAAGATTTTTTTTACATGATTGTTTTTGTTTATGTTTTCAGATTATTTCAAACTCAGTTGCTTTCTTGAATCCTTCAGATGTTTTCAAGCTTCTAGAATCTCTCATATCTATGATCCAATCCAGGTGCAATCCACTGTTCCCTTTTAAGAATGTTGAAAATTAGACATGATTACACTATTCTGTTCATTTCCTTTTTGAAATAGTTAATAATATTTTTAAATTGAAATCTATTAGATATGATCAAAATAGCTCATCTAATTTTATTAATAAAAACCATTTAGGAAGTTGTATGCATTTGAATACACTTTGACAAATTTTGACCTGTTTGGCCTTTTTTTAAAACTAATTCTTTTACCCATTTTACCCCTTGTAGATAAAATATTGGGATAATCACAAACATGATCACCATATGATGTGAAATTTCACAAATTGACTGCCTTTTCGACCCATAGCATAAACTATTTCACAATGAGCCAATTGCAAGATTACTTTTTATTGATTAAAAGCTGCAAATAATCTACGAAATTACATCATCATTTCACAATAAGTTATTTGCTAAATGTCAAGTCATATATATGCTGTTCATTTTTTTGAGTATTCTTAAAACAAGCAATTTTATTAAATGAGTCGTAATTTAACAAATAATTGATTGTGTGAGAACAGGGGTACAGTAGTAGCTTGTGCCCTGCCATGGCTTAAAAGTTTACTTCTTCAACATGCAAGCAGCATCATGTCTCAAGAATCATCTCTCATTGCCCTCAACTCATTATATCAGGTATTAACAACTTCACTTATTTTCCTTCCTATTTTATCTCAATTTAGTAATTTTGTCAAAAGTGGGTAACAAACTCTTCCAAAAACATCCCAGAAATTTTGACATTTATTAACCCTTTTTGAAATGATAATAACCTGATTTGAAGTTGGTTGTTATTTGTGTAGCTTATAGAATCTCGAATTTCAACTTTCGATCCTGTGGTCCAACTGTCGAGTTCCCTAGACTTGCTTTACACAAAGGTAAGTTGTAATTTTTTTTTTTTTTGGATGAATGATGAGTGTTATGCATTTTGTTGAATTTTTATGTTGTTTTTATGCAGACGGTTGATGGAGTGGATGAAGAAGAACGGCCAATGGAACCTATTATATTTGAAGACACGAGTGATGAAGAAGAAGAAAATGGTGAAGAAGCCATGGAAACTGATGATGATGAAGAAGAAGACAATGAAGAACTTGAAGCAATGAGTAATGTTAGTGATCTTGAAGGGAGTGATGATGGCATGCTTGACTACTAAGTTATATAGAAATTCAGATCCGTTATGTTCAATGGGTTTAATGGTTCCCTCCGATAAATACACAAACAGAGTCAGAATTGAACTATTCCTTTATGATTTTACGAGCTGAAGTCATCTTTAAAAAAATTGGCTCATCATACGAAGATTGTATTTTTCGAGACAGACTTTTTAAATTTTTTGTTTTGCGGCTTGAATTTGTATAATCAATTTTGTAGGATTTGTTGGTATAGTATGCAATTTTGGTTACCTTTATTATTTAGATCACATAATGATTTTGATTTGAGTAAAAGGTTTGAAAATTCTACCTTTTAGGTACTTGTATGATATTTTATAGTATGGCCCTTCGAATTCTTGGTTGTTTATTAGGATTTCAATTCGATCGTAATTCCATGTAACAACGATTGAGTATGGCGTATTTTACTTATGATGATCTTTAAACGAAAATGAAAAATCCTTAACACTGGAAAAAAAGGGCCAAACATACAACATTAAGGATTAAACCTTATTTTATAGTAAAAGGGCAATTAAGCAACAACGAACTAGAAGACATGAACATTTCAAACATCAGCCCAAAAGTAACTTATATGGACATAATCCTGAAAAAGCTTGATTTTTTTTATAAGATCATATTTATAATTTTTTATTAATTTTTAGAAAAAAAATATTGTCTTGTAGGTGCAGCTGGTTTGTTATTCAGCAAATAAAAACATTGTTTATTTGAAAAAAAAAAGATGACTTTAATAGAAAAAAAATTAATGCTTAATCTGAACTAGTTTTTATGTAATGAGCTTTGTATTTGATAATCCGATAATTTTTTTTGGCATTTAAGCCGGATTATCCCATATGATACGGACACATTTTTATTATTTCACAACGAACCATAAAAAGTAACAATTTTGAAAGGGCATAAACACCAACTTCCAAAATTCATAATTGGAAATAACACATTAAACAAGTTGAACCACCATTAATGTTTGAAATTGATATTTTGTAATAAACACTAGTTAAAAGTAGAATGTAGAGACGGCAGAAATATATAAAACGAACAAAACTTTAACAAAGTGCTAGAGGGAATTACAAAGGTTGTTTAATAAAGGAGAACAAATCCAACACGACCAATCTACAAAGCCAAGTTTGATCTATGCTTAATCCATCATTTTCGAAGGAGCCACTCTATAGTTCTTGAAACGACGAATTAAGGCCAAACAACGATAAAATCCAGCTCCAAATCACATTCGACGTACTCACAGCCAAAGAAAAGGTCCTCCACATAATCCTTAATCTTGTTACAGAAGCAAAAAAATGAAGGAATACTGAAAATCCCCCTAGTAATCAGATTCACAGTAGTCAGAATTTGATCCACACGAAACAATTAAATTTGAGGGATACCCATTTAACCTACTTGAAGCTTGTGTCACCTGCCCACCAATCCAAATCCGAAATGATTGTCTCAAGGGACTTGACTTTGCACACTTCAGAACTATCTCCCAACCACATGTAGCATATCAACAATCTCTGTAAAACGAAAACTAACCAGCAAAACATATAACTCCTCCAACTGGCTGGTTTCTATGCCCCCCCTCCTTGAGTTTCTGCACCATACCCACATATGTTGAAAATCTGCATCAGCCGTTGACCCAATCATGTTCGAGACCAAACAATTTTTATTGGATTCCTCCACATAAATATTAGACAATGTTTTGAAAACCAGTACGAACCGCCTGGTCCAACTGTTTGGACCGCAAATCGGAAAAGAGAACGGTTTAACTAGTAGCAATTTTATGTCTATTTCTGGATCAAAATGAACTGGCTTCATAAAAACCCAGTTAAATTAAACCGTTAAAACCCGATTGAACCGGTTAAATTGAAAAAGTTAAGAACAAACTTTGATAAACTTTGATGGTCTTTTTCATATAAATTTAGATATCGTTGTGTACATCTTTTGTTTGATTCTCATTTACAGATCTTTTTTTTGCTATTTCAGAATATGAATATGAAAACCTTTTGAATATGAGACATTCCGTTAATATTTAACTTGATTTTTAATGTCCATATGTTATATAGCCTCAAAATGACAATAACTCATTTGTATTGAAGCTTTGATAAATTTTTATCTATAGCTTAAATGACAAAAAGACGTGGTTTTCTTACAAAAATGATATTTTAACGTGTTTATATTCATTTAAAATTATATTTTTTTTATATTATAAACATAAATGATATTTTAATGTGTTTGTATCCATTTAAAATTATATTTTTTTTATATTATATTTTATGTATATTGAATTGATATAATATATGTATGTAATTATACTTTTTTGATATATATATATATATATATATATATATATATCTATATATATATATATCTATATATATATATATATAATATATATATATATATATATATATATAGAGCTAGGTTCATTTGTTTAAACTAATTATTGTGTTATTGTATGCATAAATGTGGGCCAATTAAAATTTAAAATAAAAATAAATAATTAAATAAATAAATAAGGGTAAATATGTAATTTGATAATTAGTTTCCACAAATAATAGCCTATAATTATGGTAACCATTGACTTAGCTACCTAGGTTTTTTCCATCCCTTTTTAAAACCACAATGACGAATTAAAGGGGTGTTTTGGCTCGGTGACTCTTTGTGTTCGTTCTCCCATCGTCGGCAGCCCCAAAAACAACAGCGGCAGTGGCGGTCGACAGACAAGAAATCGCATGTAGTAAGGGATGGTCAATCGATCTCCGGAGGACTCCTCCTTCGTTCATCTGCTTCGTCACCAGTGATCACAAATCAACAGCGGGAGAAGAATCGATCGACAGAAGACGGTAAGAGATTTCATCTTTTCTCTTTTCTCTTTTCTCTTTTCCTTTTTTTGTTCCAGCAGTCTCTAGTTGTTCTTGTTTGGGTTGATTTGAAAGAAACGAAGGTAGGAAGGGATGGTTGGAAGGTGGTTCGGTGGAGGCAGGGAAGAAGAACCGAAATCAGATGGGTGTTTGGATTGAGGCTGTGAAATCAATGGGCAAGCAGAAGAAGAAACAAAGGTTTTTTTTTCTTTTTGTGTTCAACTAACATCCTATTTGATCGTATCTGTGAGTAAAACTGTCTTCTAGATTCATGTGGCCTCTAACATCCTATTTCAAGGTTGTTCGCACACCAAATTAGTATGTATTCTTATTTCTGTGCTGGTCCTATGTTTGAATTCATATCAGATGTCACGTGTTCTCTATCTTAATGAGATGCTTGGTTACTTCTCAGGATCTTGTGTGGCTGTTTGTCCATTGTTTGATTTTCTTGTGTGAAATCAATGATAAAGATGATGACTTGATGAGGGCATTTATGTCAAAATAAATTTTTTTTTTTAATGGAGTCTGATGTATGATGATAAAAGAGGCAAATTTGGTCTAAAAGGTTGAACTCTATCCTAAAGGTATGAGTTCTGAACATGTCAATTGCTCTAAAAGGTACAGTTTGTTCTTGACTAGTTTTTTGGCTGCATTTTATGAATTGATTATATTTCAATTTATGTTTTTTTTTTCTAATTTAACACTTCATTATGTGGACAGTGCAGGATCTTGACAAGGTTGAATTCTGAAAAGGTATCAAGTATGTTTATGTAGATGATTCAATGGATGATATTAGTGAGATTCTAATTCTATTGGAATGGAATCACGAATACCAATTATGTTGGAATGGAATCACGAATTCCAATTCTGTTGGAATCACAAAAGTTGATGCTTGAAGAACGGACCACAAAATTGAAACGGACCACATTATTCTTTTAGAATGTATTAGTAGTTGTTAGATTTTGATGTTTTCTTTCCCGTTTTGAAAGTTTTTTTAGTTTTATTCTTTAACAATAAATGTATTTCTTAGCAATTGTTACATGTATTCTATAAGAATTAATATAATTTTTGTTTTAATTCTTCAATTGCTGGTTCGAGAATTTGTTATTCTACAAGAAAAATATGTTCAAGAATATTTTTATTATTTTATGGTTCAAGAATTTTTTTATTTTTGAATATATTCAAACATATTCTGTCAGAATGTCCGAATTAAAAACCTAATAATTAGTAAAATCAGATTTTTAAAATTAATAGAATCTATGATCCCTTAAAATATATAAACTTCCTTTATTAAATCTATGTTAATTGACTAAAATACCCTTCTAGTTAAACTAGATGATATTTTTCGATTATTTTTAATTCAATAATATGTATTAATCACTTTCTTAAAATAAGTAAAATGATTAGCCAATATTTATGCATACAATAACACAATAATTAGTTTGAATAGAATAATCTAGGCCTATATATATATATATATATATATATATATATATATATATATATATATATAATATATATATATATATATATATATATGAAAATAAAAGAACATATAAATTCTAAAAACCAAAAACCAAATCATCCCGACAGTCAAAATGGGATGACTGTTAGACTAAACAAGTGGATTTTAAAACACTAACTAGAATTTTACTTGCCGCACGTTGCGGCAGCAATAATGGATTTAAGTAGAATAACTAATTTAGTAGCAATACAAGTTAGAAGGATTTAAGTTGTCAAACCACAAAAGTCATGAACCAAATCCATGCATAGAAACTTAGGAGGACTTAAGTTGCCACATGCCAAGAACAATGCTTAAAATAAACACGTAAATGTTTTATAGATAAAACTGGTATATAGAAAAATCAGACGAGTAGATCATATATAGTACGAGGGGAGAAACTTTTTTAAAGTCTAGGGGTAAAAGTGATTTTTTTTAAAGTTGAGGGATCGTAACTATATAAAAAAGCAGATTATATATATAGAAAATCAAAAAGGTAGAAAAGACAATTTAGAATGTTCTTCAAAGGGGTAAAAGTGTAATTTTGAAAAGTACAAGGTATAAAGTGTCCTTTTTCAAATTAATGGGAAAAAGTAACAGCAAAGAAAATGTAGGGACTAAATGGTGAAAAGCAAACTTTTTAGTATAGATATAATATTAACTATTAAGAGAACGTATCTTCATCTTTCCAAAATAAAATTGTCCCCCAAGCCAACCACACTTTCGAAAAGATTATCAAGAGAGATCCCAAGCTTTTCAAAATCGAAATTAATATTCAAGATATTAGGCCAAACTTTCATAATCGTTTTTGGCAATAGGCTTCCCATCCACAAGGGAAATCCTATGAATTGTCCTCGTGCATTTGAACCAAAGAAGCGAAGAACATTGCCATCCGCCTTCAGCCTCCCTCACCATTTAGCAAGACCATTTTAGCCCTATTTTTGTATGACGATATCATAAGAAACGCAAAATTACTTTGAAGACATGTTCTGAAATACTCTTTACAGTTTTATGGGTGCAATATTGCCAAGATAAAAACATAATAAATTACTATGAGGAAAATTTTATAGAAAATCAAAAGCCATTTATAGAAAATCCTCACTTTATTTGCGATGTGAAGTATCGAGAACTATGAGGACACCAAGGTGGTAAGACATACGTATATGATCACACCAGTATTCTCTATACATACACCCACCAACCTAACATTAAAAAAAAACAAACGAAAGGGAACAATAAAAACCATCCCTCGAGACAACTAAAAACGCAATATAATACCACACCACCACCATTCAACGTCTAGTAGTTGGTCCTCCGGGTGGTGGTGGTGGTAGTATCAAGGCCACCGGTAGTGCCAGTGGTGTGCTTATCACCACCTTCATCCTCCCCGAATCCAAGAGTACTCTTCACGGCTTCCGCAGCACCTTGAGCCATACTCTTCACCTGCTCTCCAGTCCTCTGCATCACCCCTCCGGTCTTCTCTTTTCCACTCTCTGCAGTTTCTTTAGTCCACTGTGCTGTATCCGAGGCTTTGTCCTTGGTGGCTTGACCAATCTGCGACGCCTTGTCCTTCGTGGCTTGACCCATTTCCGACGCCTTGTTCCTCGCAGCTCCGGCCTTATCTGACACGTAGCTTCCGGTCTGGTCTGTGGACTCTTTGGTCCGGTTCCAGGCAGCTCCCGCCGTGTCGGACGTCTTGTCTTTCCCTTGCTGCGCCTTGTCCCTCATTGTCCCCATCATCTGACCGGTCTTCTCCTCGGTTCGGCCTTTGACTTCGCCGGCTCTGTACTGCTGATCGTGAGACGCCATTCTTGAAGTGAGTTTTCGGTTGATCGGAAAACTTTTGAGTGTGTGTGTGTTTTTTTTTTCTGTGAGAATTTGTGTAATTCAAAGATGATTTAGTAAGCAGGAGAACAGTCGGTTTATATAGAGATGCATGTGAGTTGAGTGCGTGACACGTGTATTTAGCATTCGACGCGTGTCATGGTTACGTGCCCTCTTAAATCATTTTTATTTTTTAACGGTTAGGCCTCCTCGATGTCTCATCTTTTCTCGCAATTAATAAAAAAAGTTAAATATTCTTTTGCATACGAATCTTCAGTACGTTTTTTTTTTCTTCCTCTAAGTATATATGTGATAAAGTGATATTATATGCCTAATAATGTTTATGTTTACGAAAATTTATATATAACTTAGAGATATAAAGAAAATGAGTACGTTTATTGTATTACGCAGTGACTTTTAAAACTACAAAAAAATCGTTTATATTAGGATGAATTTATTTTGACAAGTTTGATTGAACATACATAATTCAAAATAATTTTTTAGATAATTGACATATACTTTATAAGATATCTGGTGAAAATCTTTTTTATAAAATGGAACATGATTTAGAACAGAAAAATCTTGAAACTTAGAAAAATCGTAGAAACATTTTTTTTATGGGAATCTTTTGACTTCATGATTCATCTGAAATTTTAAAGTTAAGATATCTACAAAGACTAATATTATAAAAGTCCTAAATTTTTAACGCGTAATTGGAAAAAACAATAATATTTTTTTTATTATTGCTATGGCCACAACTTTCTCGCATGATTATTACTCTAGCCCACTTAACGAGTTTCATTGTTAACTTGGTTAAATTTTTTGCAAAATCAGTCCTAAAAAGTTCAAATTTAGTCCCTGAGGTTTGCAAAAATTACACCACATGGTTTTTTAACTTTATTTTTCATTTTTTATATACTTTATTTATTTTCGGTTTTTTTATAAATATATATACATTTTTTATTTTCTTTTTTTATATACTTTATTTATTTTCATTTTTTTAACTTTATATTTCAACAATTTGATTTTTTTACCTTTTATACCTTTTGTTTTCTATTTTTTTCTATCTTAGTTATTTATGGTTTTTCTAATGTTTTTATTTATTTTGATTCAAGTAAACGAACTCGAATTTAATATAAATTACTATAACAAATTTTTTATAGAGACCGATTAGTATTATTATTATTATTATTATTATTATTTTCTTTTAGTCTATTATCAAATTGAAAAATATTATCTTGAAAAACTATTGATATCACATATAAAAATATGATTTAATTTCCAAGTTATATAACACATTGAAACACTAATTCTCAATAAACAAGCTAATTTTTTTTTTAATTTTCAATTTTTCGTAACATAAATATAATAGCACTAAAGAAAAAAAGTAAAAAGAAAATAAGTTGGACCGAAATTACAAATATAAACATAACAAATTTATTTACTTGAATAAAAATAAAAAAATTACAAAAACTATAAATTATATAAATTGTAATATAATCTAATATATTAATACATTTTATATTTTTTGAAAAAGGTCAATAAAAAGTTAAAAATACAAAAAAAATAAAAACAAATAATTGGAAAACAAATAAGAAAAAAATAAAAAAAAAGATTAAAAAATTAAAATATAATATGAAAAGAAATATGAAAAAAAAAAACTAAAAAAAAAACTCTAATATACTTTATATATACACTATAAAATAGAAAAAAAGGTAAAAAGGTAAAAAAAAAAATCAAATTGATGAAAAATAAAGTTAAAAAATGAAAATAAATAAAGTATATACAAAAACGAAAATAAAAAACGTATATATATTTATAAAAAAACCGAAAATAAATAAAGTATACAAAAAACGAAAAATAAAGTTAAAAAACCATATGGTGTAATTTTTTGCAAACCCCAGGAACCAAATTTGATCTTTTGGGACTGATTTTGCAAAAAAAAATTAACCAAGTTATCCATGAAACTCGTTAAATGGGCTAGAGTGATAATTCTGCGACAAAGTTGTGGCCATAGCAATAATAAAAAAAATATTAGGGTTTTTTCCAATTACGGATTAAAAGTTTAGGGCTTTTATAATATTAGTCCTATCTACAATGCATTAAACTTATTAGAGTTTAATGGATTGATACATCATCATTTTACTTTTTATACAACTTTATATTAATTTTTCTACAATGCATTGAACTTTATAAAGTTCAATGAAATATATTTTTAATAGTTAAAAGGTTTCATTTTTCCATTGAAGAGTTCAATGGACATTGAACTTCACATCCATTGAATGCCAACATGACATCCCACAACGATATAGTTTTATTTATGTTTGATTTTGGGGTCTAAAAACATCAATATTTACTTGGATAATGTCTAGGATCATGATTGCAATCACTTTCCAAAATCAATGATTTCGACCATTATGCCTGTGGTATCACGAAATCTAATTTGGGATAATCCAAGAGAGAAAATTTAGAAGTCAAACCACTTCAAAATCCGAAACACAAAATAATACCCTAATGTTTTGTGTTCTTAATGAGTTAGATAGAATCAAAAGAGTGATATTCGTATATATGGAATGTAACCCTTTTCTGGAAGAATCACACTGTTCTTATACAATGAGGAAAGTAGTTAATGGTGGTTACATGCATTTTGGCGCTAAAATTATAGTTATAAATATGGTTATTTAGACATAACTGATACTTACATAATAATGATGTCACAACCTATTTTTGGAGGGAAAATGCATGGCTAAACTCTTTCCTGATATATAAATTCGTTTAGGTTTCGGGGCGCTGCCCCTAGACCCCGCTAGGGGCGTTATGTAACGACCCAAAAATCCAAGGTAAAAATTTCATTTTTAATATATTCAAAACACTATCGTAACTTGTTCAAAACATTGAAAAGCATTTCAAATAAACAATTATCAGAGTCCAATTCCCAAAGATCACGAATTATAGAAAACACGGGTGTATGCGTTGCGATCGTCCCGAGCTCTTTCGATTGATTACTGGAGTACTTGAAACAAAAATTGAAAACTGTAAGCACAAAGCTTAGTGAGTTCCCCAAATACCATATACCATACATATCCAACGACCAATACAAGTCATACATAACCGCGAGCCATACATATCATTCATATATCATAATCAATAAAGGTGCTATGTGCCGCACATAGTCTTACCATTATGCCACGAGCCGCCTCGTGGTCTTCCTTGCCAAGCCGAGGGCGACAACCCTGGGTCTTACAGACAAGTGCCAGGAGCCACCTCCGGGTCTTCCATGCAAGCATCACAAAGACAACTAGCATACAATCTACTATACTTAACTAATTAGCATACAATGTGCCAGGAGCCGCCTCCTGGTCTTTCATACATAATGCCAAGGGATAACCCCCGGGTCTTCCTACAATACATAAGCCAAATGGGTCGGCATTGGTGCCTTCGACCCATACAACAGTGAGGAAACTCACCTCGAATGCTGAAGCTCACTGCACGAAATCCCTAGCTGCTGCCCCGACGATTTCCCAAACTAGCAATTACCAACACAACATCCAATTAGCAACTGAATTCCTAACCATGATCCATAAACCAACCTTGGGGTAAAATGACCATTTTACCCCTGGCCCATCAAGACTCATAACCAAGGCCCAATCCCAAAACCAACCAAGCCCAAAACTATAAGATCCATAAAAGCCCATTAATGGCCTAATTTTCCAAATTGGGCCCAACCCCATGTGGCCTTACCCAAAAGCCCAACAATTCCTAGTCCAATAACAAAATCTCACAAAACCCAAAGGTTCCACAATGCTCAAGCCCATTGGGCCCACAAAGCCAAAAACGATACTGGGCCATTATGCTGGGCGTACACAATGGTACGCAGGGCGTACCACGAAGACCTCAGTACGCGGGGCGTACTTGCTTTTACGCGGGGCGTACTCCACAAACTTCCCAAGGCTTATTTCATGAATTATCCGTTAATTCCTTCCATAATGACCATGATGGGATGTCAAGTCCACCAAGAAAATTACACCCTTTGTTTGCAAATAAAACATAATTCAACACAATGAACATTTGTGTGCTTATCATTAAGATTCAACATGAAGCTTATCATTCATCCCAAATTGGTTATAGCAATCATGAAGCATGATATGCCAAGATTCCTCATAGGTAGTATGGAGGTTGGGGAAGCCCACAACACACCTTCTTAATCAAAATCAAGGATCCAATTGAAGTAATTGAAACCAGAGAAGTTGATTAGCCTTAAGAATGAAGAAATCCCCAATTCCTAGAGGATGTCAATGCTTACACATCCATAAAGGAGTTATGATTTATAAGCTAGAGATGATTTCTACCATCATAAAACCCTTGTTCTAAGTAAATTCAATGATTCAATGCTAAACCAAAGAAATAAATCAACAATTGCTCATTCAAGTACCAAGCTCATGATCAAAGTATTAAACAAGCATAAGAAATATGAACTAGAATCATAAACATAAGATAAATGAAAACTAAGCATGAAACCTTCAAAAACCCACAAACATCCAAGGGTTTTAGCCAAAGTTAACCAAAATAGAGAAATTAGCCACTCATGGCAACAAAAATAACAATCACAAAAGTGTTTTTGCATCAACAATCTACCAATTACTTAGAAAGATGAGAAGAATGAGTATCCAAGCTCCCAAAATCGCCTCTCCAGGTCTCTAATGGTGGAAAATATGAAGGATCCAATCCCCAAGGTAAATGGTAAACAAAATGACCAAAATGCCCAAAAGTGTGCAGTTGCGCGGGTACCCGCGCGACTAAGATTCCACCTTCGCAAGTGTTGCTGGAATGCTATTGGTCAATTCTTCTCCACTACCCAAGATTCCCTTGGTCCCCTCCATGACTCACATGATTTGAAATTGGCCAATCACCTTCAAGCTCTAAATATGGATAGTCCATGCCCAAAATAAAAATCCATGACCCATTTTCGAAAGCCCACTTCATCC